ATTAGTGTTCCTGAAGACGCGAGCGTCATGAACCCTTCCCGGCCATCCCACGTTGATGTTGGTGAAACGTCTCTTGTGATCCACCAGTGCTTACAGCACCATTGAAAAGTACCCCTTGCAGTTTATGTACTGGCTGCCCTGGTGCTACGGTGCCAAGATAGGGATATGGGTTCCATCTATCGCCCCACCACAGTGAGGGAATCCCATTGCAGCAAAACTATCTATTATGATCTGCACATTTCCCAGAGTCACTACCTTTGGTAGCAGCAGCTCAGCAATTGCTTTGGCTACTTGTATCACAGCAGCCCCCACAGTAGATTTGCCCACTCCAAATTGATTACCGACTGACCCGTAGCTGTCTGGCATTGCAAGCTTCCACAGGGCTATCACCACTCGCTTCTCAACTGTGAGGCCTGCTCTCATCTTGGCATTCTGGCGCTTCAGGGCAGAGGAAAGCAAGTCACGAAGTTCCATGAAAATGCCCTTACGCATGCGAAAGTTTCGCAGCCACTGGGAATCGTCCCACAGCTGCAACACTATGCAGTCCCACCAGTCTGTGCTTGTTTCCCAGGCCCAGAATCGGCGTTCCACGGCTAGAACCTGCCCCATTAACAAGATGATCTCCAAAGCGCCGGGGCCCACGGTTTGAGAGAATTCTGTGTCCATGTCCTCATCGCTATTGTCACCGCACTGCCATAGCCGCCTCCTCCTCGCCTGGTTTTTCAGGTCCTGGTTCAGCATAAACTGCACGATAATGCGCGAGGTGTTTACAACGTTCATGACTGCTGTCTTGAGCTGAGCGGGCTCCATGCTTGCCATGGTATGGTGTCAGCACAGTTCACCCAGGAAAAAAGGCGTGAAATGGTTGTCTGATGTTGCTTTCACGGAGGGAGGGGAAGGATGTACCCAGAACCACTCACGACAATGGTTTTTGCCCCATCAAGCATTGGAATCTCAACCCAGAATTCCAATGGGCGGGGGAGACTGCAGGAACTATGCGATAGCTACCCACAGTGCAACGCTCCGGAGGTCAATGCTAGCCTCAGTACATGGACGCACCGCGCCGAATTAATGTGCTTAGTGTGGCCGTATGCACTCTTTATACAATCAGTTACCCAAAATCGAATTCTGTAAATTCGGAGTAATCCCGTAGTGTAGACATACCCAAAGACTTCAACTCTATGCCTAAGGAGGAGTTTCAAGAAAGTCTTAGACAGTTTCTAGACAGATAAATTCAGGCAAAGAACCAATTTTACTAGTGATAATGTTCAACTTCAAGAAAGTGCTACATTACAACTGACAAACATTTCTTTGAGAGTTAACTTCTACACATTCAGATCAAAATACCATTTGCAATAATGCCATTTGGTGACTCACAATAACTTTCTATAGACTGAGGACCCTCTATGCTATGGGAACTTATAATAGCATAGCTATAGCTCCATAGCTATGCTGGCATAACCCTGTAGCATAAATGCAGCCTACAGCGATGAAGAAGGTTTTTCTTTTGCTGTAGGAATATCAATTCCCCAAGCAACAGTAGGCTAAGTAGCTGGGATGGAAGCATTCTTTTCCTGAACAATTCAGTCCTGCAGCCCCTCCTGGCGGGTTCCAAACCATGACACCCCAGTACGGGCAAAATGCTGCATATCCTGGATTGTCCTTACTCCTCATAACCCCCACAACAAACATAAGCACCTCTATTTCATGCACTTGGCAGGCTCCAGCACCACAACCACAAAATGCCACTTTTCCAGCAAGTTCCAATGATCCCTTCAATCATGGGGCTTTTCCCAGCCACATCCTACAGCAGGGTCCAGCAGTGCCCTCCAGCTTCCTCCCAGTCTCCAGGGAAAGCTGCTGTGCTGGGAGCAAGAAGGGGGCTGCCTGCCAGGGTCCTCTCTGCCCTCCTATCTCAGTTAATGAGGATCTGGGTCAGAGTCATAGAATTTAAGGCCAGAAGGGGCCACCACATCATCTAGTCTGACCGCCTGTATATTGCAGGCCACCAACACCACCCAGCACCTGCACACTAAACCCAACAACCAAAATTAAACCAAGAAGTAGCAGCCAAAGCAGAAGCTGCAGGTGGTTGAAGATGAATTTCTGAGCTGCCTCTTGCCGTTCATAAGATCACAATACTTGTGATAATTTCATGAGTATTGGTGCCTCCATATATACACATCAATATTTGCATGGCAATATACTACACCGTCACCGGTTAGAGCAAATTTTAAAAACTCGATGGTTTGAATATTTAGCATGCAATCACCCCCACTACACTTATGATTAATGTGTACAGCTTTCAGAACTGGGTCCTTATAATAAATATCAAGTTGAAACTAGTTTAGAGTTTATGATTTAGTGAGTTTGTAAAAAGGACATTGTCAGATTAAAAATTTTATTTAAAACCAATTTCCTAATTTATGTACAAACGTTAACTTTCAGCTCCGCTTGGGAAAAAATAGACTTGCCAATTTAAGTTTAGCCCCAGCCCCCTAATCATTTTCATTGCCCTCCACTGGACTCTCTCCGATTTGTCCACATGCTTTCTGTAGTGAGGCGCCCAAACCTGGACAATACTCCAGATGTGGCCTCACCAGTGCCAATCACTTCCCTCGATTTACTGGCAATGCTCCTACTAATGCAGCCCAATATGCGGTTAGCCTTCTTGCCAACAAGGGTACACTGCTGACTCATATCCAGCCTCTTGTCCACTGTAATCCCCAGGTCCTTTTCTGCAGAACTGCTGCTTAGCCAGTCAGTCCCCAGCCTGTAGCAGTGCATGGGATTATTCTGTCCTAAGTGCAGAACTCTGTACTTGTCCTTGTTGAACCTCATCAGATTTCTTTTGGCCCAATCCTCCAAATTGTCTAGCTCACTCTGGACCCTATCCCTACCCTCCAGTGTATCTACCTCTCCCCCCAGATTAGTGCCATCTGCGAACTTGCTGAGGGTGCAATCCATCCCATCATCCAGATCATTAATAAAGATGTTGAACAAAACCAGCCCCAGGACCGACCCCTGGGGCACTCTGCTTGATACCGGCTGCCAACTAGACATCTAGCCATTGATCACTACCCGTTGAGCCAGACAATCTAGCCAGCTTTCTATCCATCTTTTAGTTCATTCATCCAAGCCATACTTTTTTAACTTGCTGGCAAGAATACTGTGGGAGACCGTATCAAAAGCTTTACTAAAGTCAAGGTATATCATGTCCACCGCTTTCCCCATATCCACAGAGCCTGTTATCTCATCATAGAAGGCAATCAAGCTGGTCAGACATGACTTGCCCTTGGTTAATCCATGTTGACTGTTCCTGATCACCTTCCTCTCCTCCAAGTGCTTCAAAATGGATTCCTTGAGGAACTGCTCCATGATTTTCCTGGGGACTGAGGTGAGGCTGACTGGTCTGTAGTTCCCCGGATTCTCCTTCTTCCCTTTTTAAAAGATGGGCACTATATTTGCCTTTTCCCAATCATCTGGGACCTCCCCGGATCGCTACGAGTTTTCAAAGGCCAATGGCTTTGCAATAACATCAGCCATCTCCCTCAGCACCCTCGGATGCATTGCATCTGACCCCATGGACTTGTGCATGTCCAGCTTTTCTACATAGTCCTTAACTTGTTATTTCACTACTGAGGGCTGCTCACCTCCTCCCCATACTGTGCTGCCCAGTGCAGCAGTCTGGGAGCTGACCTTGTCTGTGAAGGGCGAGGCAAAAAAAAGCATTGAGTACTTCAGCTTTTTCCACAGCACCTGTCACTAGGTTGCCTCCCCCATTCAGTAAGGGTACCACACTTTCCCTGACCACCTTCTTGTTGCTAACATATCTTTAAAAACCCTTCTTGTTACCCTTCACATCCCTTGCTAGCTGCAACGTCAATTGTGCTTTGGCTTTCCTGATTACACCAGGCTAGTTATTTTTATTTTCCAGGCTGAAGTGCAAAAAGTAAATAACTAAATTTGTGTTCTAATTCTAGTAACTACTACAAATTGTGTGTGTGGGAGAGAGGGGGGTTATTCATAACACAAGTATGGAAATGTGTTTAATTACATTACTTTTCGTCTGATACAAAAGTATCACTAAGGGATAACTGTATATGCCAATTCCTATGTTTTTAATGTAAAAAAAACAAAAACCACAAATTAGAGTAATTTTATCAAACAAAATAGACTCCAACTCCATGCAGGTGGACAGCAAAATAATAGCATAATGTAGTAAGTTCTCAGATTCTTTAATAAAATATGAAAAGTCATCCTTTAGGTAGTGAGTTCATGAATTCGCAGTAGAAATTCAGTCCAAAATAAGCATCCATGATATTGGTCACAGTAAAGAAGTACTGTCAATATGAAAGGAACCCATAAGATTCAGAAAAAAAAAAGATTTGCTGTATTGCTTTCAAATGTTCTAAATTAATTTATAAAACTAATCTTAGAAGCTTGCAAATTAATATATCAATACCAAAAAAAGGGTTGTCTTGCTTTGGAAAAATTCTAAATTTACTGTTCGAAGGCATTCTTCAAATATGAACTACAATTCATAATAGGCCTGGAAAAGAAATGTAGACAAAAGCAGTTAGGCCCATTTTTCTTTTAAATGACCTCATTAGAACTGGTCTGGTTTTTAGAGCTGTTGAGCAACCACAACTCCAATTTAAGTCAGTGGGAGCTTAAAGTAAGTACTTAACTGAATTGGTCACCTTAAATAAAACAGCCCCCAAATTCAAGGACAATATGAAAATTTGAGCCTTAAAGTTTTACTTAATTTCTGGTACTAAACAATTGATTCATTGTCTTAACTAGTAGTTAATTTCAAAGGCCAGAAGTTCTCAGAAGTTATATTCTTACGGTTAAGGACAGAAGAAACTGATATGCTTAGAAAGTAAACCACAAATTCTTCAAAAATCTCTGGAACAGATGGAATGTCATTGTCTCAGAATCCGAAACCAGCTACTGATCGTATGGTCTAGCCTAACTTTTCTTCTATTTCAACTCACCAGCTCGGAGGGGACGTGGAACTCCCCCTACAAAGATAGTTTTTCTTGGGTCCAACGGCTGAGAACCATCCATTACAAAATCACTGTCACTTAGGTTCCAAGGTCGAATTTGCACCTGAAAGAAAGATGTCAACTTAATCTTCACTTCATTGCTAACTTATCCTACACAAAGTAATAAGAATTAAGAATCAGCTGCTAAACATTTACATATGTAAAATCTGATTAGAATATATGTAAATACACACATTCACATTCTTTTTTAAAGATAAAATAGTAAAATGATAGAATGTGAAAGTAAAAACGATGCAAGTATATCATTTATCTATGTAGGTATTCAGAATGTACAGTTTACAGTGTTTACTTGATAAATGTGGACAGTACATTTATCACCTCTAGAGGCCAGGCTTGAGTTAGATTTCCTCGTGAAAATGCAGCTACCCCATTCTCTCCCTAATCTGCTTCCTCCTCCAGCCTCCTTTATTAGGAATATGGAATATATAAAAGGACATTAAGAGCTTTATCATTTATAGTGTGAATTTAAGGATGCCGGTTGAACATTCAGCTTTCTTCTAGTCACATAAAATTTTAAAAGTTGAAAAAGAGGGAAGAGGAAGTGGAATTAATTCCTATGTTTAAAATAAGAAGATTTCAGAAATGTAAGTGCACTTGTTCAGTTTAGTTAAGCAGCCAGCTAGATAGTGGACTGTTAGACAGAAAGTCTTCAGATTGTACAGAACTAAGAATTCTGCTCAAAAGCCATTTGGATAAGCCTGCTCATCACTACAACCCCAGAATAAGTGAAATGTGTAAGCATCATTTGGATTTGCCATTGCATTGCAATTTTCATTCACCCCTGCAAGGTCTAATCTTCTAATTCAAAAAGGCACCCGTGAGCCTTTTATATGAATTTGATTAAGGATTACTCTGGAAGGATTATGCATATAACATATATAATAATAATTACAATTATATAAAGAATAAGGCCCTAATCTGCAAGAAATTAAGCACATACATTACATTATTTACATGACTAGCCCCATTGACTAAATATTTACAAGATTGCAACCCAAGCTCCTCAGTATGCCCAATTTAAAAAAAAAATGGGAATAGGTGATAAATAGTTGTGTACATAATTACAGACGTAAACAGGTAGTAAATAATTGACATTACCCCTTGCAGAAGAAAGTTAGGCCAGGCTACATGTTTAGAGAAATACTTTATATTAATGGCCGCCCTAAACGGATGTTGTCATTCCTGTAAATTAATAAAGTAGCAACTATCTTAATACCACCACCACACATGCAGTTTTTAGCCCCTCTTTATGTAAACCCGTCCACTTAAAAGACTGATAGTACAGAAGTCCTCTACCTCCAGGATTTAACACAGTGCCAGCAATTCCAGAGAGTTTCTTGTAATGTCCCATTGGCAGTTATAATCAGGATGGACCACTTTGTATAATTTAACAAGATTAAGTCTCTATTCTAGTTCAATCCTGAGTAATATGAGCCAGTTGTGCTGAAGTGGGAATTGTATCAAGTACGTAATGCACCACTATATGCAAGCAACTGAAGCGGTTATCCACCAGCTCATTTCTGACTGCAGACAACATAAAAATGCTTGGTTTTTACATATCAAAAGTCAGGTTACATCTACAATGCCACTTTACTTTCTAAATAATTTAAAAACATTATCTTAGTAACTAGGTCTTTTCCAATATTCATTTTTAACAGATTCAGTAGTAATAGGGATAATTGTTCATCTTTGATTATAGGGAGTCTTTTTGGAAGTATATGGAAGTAATTTAGAATAAAAAAGGGGGGAAATATTAAGGTATCAGACATTCAACCAGCAATACATTTTGAGGGATGTTAACTAGAAAAAATATATTTAATTTTCTATACCAATGAATATCTGCCTGAATATATGTTTATTTAAAAAATCCCTTTAGAAGAATCCAGTTAAAATTTGATTAGCTCTAGCAAAATGACTCAGCAAGAATATACCTCAAACATGTTTTCCTTCTTTCTGGTATTATCTTACTCCTCATTTGTCCATCAGAAGTGCACAACTATATGCTTTTCATTGGTTTTAATAAACCTTCTTTTATAAACCAAATCTGGGTCAAAGCAGACTTGCTACAGTAAGTGAAAGGCATGAAAGATTATAAATTGCTTAGCTAGCATATGCAGAATTGAAAGCAATGAAGTACTGGCAAGGCTGCCTAAATTATTAAAGAGTTTTCTTTTTTAAATCATAGGGGCTTTTAAAAAACAACAACAGTAGTATAGGCAAAGAAACTAAAGCATTTTTTTTTTTTTTTTTTAAAATAGGTGACTTGTAACAGGACACATTCTGTTACGATATGGTACTGGAAGTACCAACATAAAAGTTTAAACAAACTTCTGAAGAAGCCAAATTATTCTAACGTAAGAAGGTAAGCCTAGTAAAGGAACACCAACATAACCAGTTTAACAGTTACACCAGGGGAAAAATGTTTCCATATTTATTTGCTTTTGAATTGGCAAGGGGAAGTTGGTTAACAGCCAAGGCACTTTGTATACTGCTTACCGGTTTGTCCTTGATGGTGGGGCTTGACACACATAGGTAAAGTTTTCCATCTTCTTCCAGACAGGCATCTATCAGCGCTTGTACAGAGCTTTCCTCTTGGAACAGCAAAAAGGCATAACCTTGGAAAGGACAATGACACAAAAAGAAAAGAAAAAAAAAGAATAGATGAAAACTTTTGAAAGATGGTCAAAACAGAGAACACAAAAAAAGAAAATCCGAGAACTGCAAATATCTTGTAAGCAGTTGGTTTTGACACTTCACTAAGACTCTGAATTACTTTATTTGTCCCAATACATAGATGGCAATAAAAGTGTAATATTGTTGCTAACTGTACTGAAGTTAATCCAATAATAATATGCTTTCATAAGGAATCCTGCCATAGGATCACATGGAGAAAGCAGGTTTCCCCACCATCACTCTTATTTTTGTTTTGATGCTGCATACAGTGTTGGTATCACAGTGGAGAAAAAAAAAGTCTTTGGAAAGTTTGTTTTCTTTATATACTTTAAAGGTTCCAAACAAACACAGAATGGCTGGAAAAAACAGGAAAAAATGTGGAAGATTAGCCCACAACTATGATAGATCTATATTTGTGCTCTTACAAGTATTTGTCATCTTAAATAAAGCGATGGTGTTGAGGCAGTTTCAGATGATATACAAGGGGGAAATACTATGTGGGAAGGTCCATGGAATGAAAACCTGCATACAGATAACCTGAATATTTCTATCCTGAACATACATATGTTGGCAAGGGAAAAATGTATATTCTCATTCATTCATACTGTAGCTTTATTTCCTAAATATATTTCTAAATCAAATCTCCTAATGTACGCAATCCTCATTGAAGACCATGATTTACTTAATTTGGACTTTTAAATTGCCACATATATAAAAGATTACCACTTCTTTTAGATCATGACACTTTCTCATGCTTAGAGCACTCAAAGGCTCAGACTTTCTTTAAAGTTCCCCTCTAAAAAAGTGCTGAAATAAGGTAATCTTGAGGGAAAGCTGTCAACAACTGAAAGATTATGGATTGAGAATTGGAGTGCCTTCTGACCCACAGATATTCTGATAAGATGATATCATATTTTAAATCAAATTTTTAATTTTAGTTGAGAGTACTGAGATATGAGACAAGCTTTTGTACACTATAAAGGTAAGCCTCAGATATTCTTAACACATATCCCTAACAGGTTAAATTTTGGAATAAAAAGAAAGGTAAATTACTGCAATGCTACTACACTAAATTAGATCTTACAACCATTTGGTAATTACAGCTAGTATTGAATGCAGCTGCCCAGTTGTGGGGAACTTCCAGTAGTCTCTGTTACACCTGTGCTGAATAATTAGGAGTAGCTACCAGATGATTTCCCACTCACTGCTTTGATATTGGCTTTCACCTTCATAGTTTGGACCTTGCCTACCTTAGAGAGTTCCTTTCTTCACACAATTCTGTAGCAACTGTTTGAGCTAGCATTCTTCTCGAAACACAGGAGGACTGCTAGCAGAAGATTCTCAGTCAGGGGCACTAAAAAGGCACCTGGCTAGGCCTATTTGCATTCCCAAGTTTTACTGGGGAGGCAGCAGTGAAGAGGAGCTCAAGTAGAATTTTGAAGTAGTTACTGTGGAGAGCTTTCTTGGTGCAATTTTTTTTTGCTTGTTTAATTATTTTTTAAAATTTTGTACATGCACTAAGAAATTAAAATTTAGTGTTCAAAATCAATTTTTCACCAGGACATTGCACAACATCTCTGCCCTTCAAAGGTTATTTCCCTACAAGGCTTCAACTTTCTACTGCTCACCATCTTTATACTACAGATATTCAAAGAAAGGTTGCACAATAATTTAATAGGTCAAGTGTATTCATCATTGAACAGACGACAGCCTTTAAAATTTTACCATAGGAGTGTGTTTCAGAAAGTCTTGGGCACTTGCTAAGAACTTAGGTTGCAACAACTATAGCTATGATCTAATGAGACACTGATTAAAATCTATGGCATATGTCGACAAAAGCCACACAGTTCATTGTGTTAGCACTACAGTAACTTGCTGCCTACACACCAAACTGATTAATCTTTGAAGAAATTTAATATCTGAATTTATATATTGATTAATTCAGTTTAAATTGACCAATCACAGTATCACATGAAATTTGAGCGCCCAGACTTGTAATGGATTGAGAATATGTATTCATCATTGTCTTCATGTTATCTCCATTTTATTTTCCAATCTGTGCAGCTATCGTGTTTTCTTCACCTTATAATGAACCTGCTCAGTAAGAAGTAAAATCTGTTCACTATCCCAATTAGAAATGTGTTCTGTTTGGCAGTTGATCTGTCCTATCAAATGCCCCCCACCCCTATTGTGAAATTGAACACTTGGAAGAGACTATAGCAGGGGTGGGCAAACTTTTTGGCCCAAGGGCCATATCCAGGTGTGGAAATTGTATGGCAGGCCATGAATGCTCACAAAATTGGGGGTTGGGATGCAGGAAGGGGGGTCTGGGCTCCAGCTGGGGGTGCAGGCTCTGGGGTGGGGCCAAAAATGAGGAGTTCAGGATGCAGGAGGGGGCTCCAGGCTGGGGCAGTGGGTTGGGGTGTGGGGCAGGGGGGTGAGGGCTCCAGCTGGGGGTGTAGGCGGTTGTTCCAGGCTGGGACAGAGGGGTTCAGAGAACGGGAAGGGGATCAGGGCTGGGGCAGGGGGTTAGGGCACGGGAGCGGGTGAGGGGTGCAGACTCTGGGAGGCACTTACCTCAAGCAGCTCCTGGAAGCAGCGGCATGTCCCCTCTCTGGCTCCTATGCAGAGGCGTGGCCAGGCGGCTCTGTGCTGCCCCATTCCTGCAGCCTTGGTTCCCAGCCAATGGGAGCTGCAGGAGCAGCGCTTGGGGCAGGAGCAGGAGCAGCATGCGGAGCCCCCTGGCTACCCCTACATGTAGGAGCCGGATGGGGGGACATGCTGCTTTTTCCGGGAGCCACGCGGAGACACAGCACACGCAGAGCAGGGCAAGCCCCCGACCCCACTCCCTGGCTGGAGCCCCAGAGCAGGGCAAGCCCCGGACTCTGTTCCCCGGTGGGAGCTCAAGGGCCAGATTAAAACATCTGAAGAGCCAGATGCAGCCCCCGGGCCATAGTTTGCCCACCCCTGGACTATAGTATTCCCTCACCTTCCACCACTAATCATATTTCATTGGTCAATTCATTTTTTTGGGGTGGAGGCATGGTGTTTAAACTCATAGGCAGACTTCAGTAACCTATATACTTCAATCTGAAAAATTAGCCCCAAATGTTAAGAATATTCTGGTTCTAACCAATATTTCCACTGGTTATTAAATAACCTCAAAGTTCAGAGATTAAGCTAAGCACTCCAAAATGTGGATGCCTGTCCATACATTGTATGAATATTTTTGGTTTGCAAAACTCATTTGGACATTTTGTCTGACCAGTCTTTTTTAGAGTGCTTTCTTTCCTGGATGGAACACACAGCATAGAAGATGGAAAAGAAAAAAAATCTATACATATTAGTTTTTTATACTGCTCCTCATTACCACAGTATCTGAATGCCTTCCATGGAAAACAAACAGCAAATATTTACTTCAAGATTTGGGGAAAGGTTTGGTATGATTCTTATTGGCATCTACACAGATGCTCCTGATTTTCTTACCTCACAGTAAAGATTCTGTTGAACTTGTGGCAGCAAGACCCGAATGCCATTTTTGGATATGGTAAATATTGTATTTGTAGTTATGATCCAATTAAAAATTACCCTAAACACAAAACCCTTGGCTTGTTCTGTTCAGCTGCTAGACTACAAATGCAGTCCTGGTTAGTCAGGACCTTTCCTGACTTCTGTGCCCTATATACTGCAGTCAGAAAAATTCGCCACAAACGCAAAACCTGTGCTGCCTCACTCTTCTAGAGCATATTACCTCTGCCAAATACGGAGACTACATGGAGTCTCTGAAAATGAGATTCTACGCACTTTGCTTTGGGATCATGACAGCCCTCCCCCATTGGCTCTGCTGGGCCACCCAATCAGCTTCTCAAAAAAAACCTGGCTAACATAGGACTTCAAACCTGCTGATTTGATGCCTCCCCCAATTATTGAAAGGTTTTGGACATCCAAGACCTCCAGAAATCAGGTTTCCACTATAATTAAAAGTTGTGATTCAATAACTGAAGTTAAATTCAAATACTACACTGATAAGCACATAAGAACTTAGATAGAATTGAATAAAACATCTATATCTGCCAAAGTTAAATTAATTAAAAAAAAATCACATTCATCAAAATATTTAGGGAAGCAAAGAGTCAAGAGAGAACCACATTGAGATAGGAAACCTACACTATTTATTTTAGAATTAATGTTTAAAGTGTTCTGAATGTGTGAAGTATTGTTACTACTAAAATCCATTGCATAAAATCTATCCTCTTTTCAGTATTTAAGGTTGTTCGTGTTTGTTAGAATTACTAATCTGTAAATTAAGATCTCGGAGATACTCCTTGCTCACATGGACTCCCAAGCACGAACTTTTATTTGCATTGATTGAATAGAACCCTGTGGCAGAAGGTGTTCCCTGAACTCTAACTATACAAAAGTTAACTAGAAAATATCCATGAAGACCACTTGCTCCATGCTTAAGCTAACATTGCACAAGGAAGTTTTAGATCACACAAGATGCAATTTAAATTAAATATCAAATATGTATTTTGTATCAGGAAAAACAGAATTATAACGCCAACCAAGCCTTTTAATGAAAAGCTAATATGTACTTTGACAACCATCATGCACCAACATCTTTTCATAATTATATCAACCTGTGCTTAAATGGCTATAATTGGCAAGTCTCTGGGACAGACCATATTATTCCCTCTAGGCTAGGACACCACAACATGTGGTTTGGAAGGTATAGCTTTGGCTGCTAAGCAACAGAGCTCTCAGCCATGCCCTATGTAGTTGTATGCAATTATTCAGTGCATTTCACAGACCGTCTTGAAGGATTTTTAAATATCCTCAAGGATGGTTGGGGTTTAAACTTATCCTCTGCCTTTCTCTGATTTTCAGATACAGCCAAGAAAACATTAGGTGGTGTTCAGATGCATGTCCAAATAAGATTTAC